TAACAAAACATAACATAGCACAACACAACTCAACACAAAATAACATAACAAAACATTACACAATATAACATAATACAACGCAACACAACACAATGTAACAAAACATAACATAACACATGCAACGTAACACAACATAAAACATAACATAAAACATTAACATAACAATCATAACACAACACAATAAAATATAACATAACATACTACAATACAACACAACATAACATTAAACATATAACAAAACATAACACAGCACAACAAAATATAACATATACCACAACACAACACAATATAACATAAAAAACAACATAACACGACACAACTCAACACAATACAACATAAAACATAACATAACAAAACATTAACATAACAATCATAACATAACACAAGAAAATATAACATATACCACAACACAACACAACATAACATAAAAAACAACATAACAGAACACAACACAACATAAAACATAACATAACAAAACATTAACATAACAATCATAACACATGTAGTGAACTAGGCCTCCGACCAAAACCTGCCTCTGAAGACCTTCATGGGACAGGAACTGTTATTTCATTGATTTGAATCCAGAAATACAAATTAGCTCATCCAGAGACTTTCTAATTGTATCCTGAACTAATCAATTGAAAGAACACTCTCTTTTTTATATTATCATCACTATTTTACAATATCTTGATAATCAAAAGTGTGTTTAGTTCATACCATTTTTAAATGTTGAAGTGAACCACTCATTTTAAATCAACTGTGAAACAGTATTAATGATTTTTTAATCCTCATTCAAATTAGAAATCAAGTTAAATGTCTATTTTACAAAGTAATTATGCATTTTTTGATCTTCTGTCTGAAATGAGAGAGTGATGTCGGTCAAAAGTCGGAGACAGTCAAGAAACAAGTTGTTAGAACAGGCTGTCGTGTTTTTAAAACTCTCAGACAGTAAATAAGAGAACTGGCACCGGCAGTGTTTCTCACATCGCCAAAACATTTCTCTGTCTGTTCCTAAACTTTTCTGCTGTTTTCTTGACTTGAAAAAACCCTTTGACGTCACTAGAACCACACCCCTGTTGGTTCCTTCAACCAATCAGGACTTACTAAAAGTGACCGGAAGCAGAACTCTTTAAAAGGCTACACTTCCTGGAACTGTGAGTTCCTCTGAGTTACTCTGAGTTCTTCTGAAGTTCTTCTGAGTCTCTTGGAGTACTGTGTAGTAGTTCTGGAGTTTTTCCACTGTTGAGTGGAACTTCGGACTCGGTTTTCCAGGCTGATGGAGTCATCCATCTCTGCAGGAGCCACGACGCCTCGCTGTGGCTCCACCAGGCGAATGCTCTATAACTGCTGAGGAAGTTTGTTCTGTGGAACGGAGTATTTCACGACTTCTGCCGAGTCGCAGCCGCCCTGAGGAGACGCTGAAAGGTAGCGTGCCAGGGACCTCTTGACCGCAGTGGACCCATCCTCTGCCAAGGTAAAGAGTCGTCACGAGCTTCACTACAAGTGTACCACGGCGAGCTGCGTTTGAAAGGAGCGTGTTGTTTTGGTCTACAGACATACATCTTCCTCCACATATTTCCTTTAAACTCCTCCATAATTTCCCATCTTTAAACTTCTATCCTGCCAGTAATTAATCCAGATGCCTTCAGAAACATCTGTTGTTTTTATTAAGTAAAACGTGCCAAGTTTTATTAATCAGAAGCAAATCAGTCTAATCAAGTGTACAATGATTTGATGTTAAATTTTGATTCTGTTAATAAATGAGCCCATTTATTTTGATGGGTCAAAGAAAATTAACGTCTCATGCCACTGATTAAACCATCTACGTACAGTACCACTGTCACATATCTGTAAAGCTCGAAAAAGAGAGAACCTGTTATTAAAATATGACTGTAGTGGAGCTCTGAAGCTAACCTAGCCGTTTTAGCACACTACACACAACACAATAAAATATAACATAACATGCTACAATACAACACAACATAACATTAAACATATAACAAAACATAACACAGCACAACAAAATATAACATATACCACAACACAACACAATATAATATAAAAAACAACATACTGTAACACAACACAACTCAACACAACATAACAGGAAGTGTTTGAAAAAGCACTTTTGTGTAAGACCATGAACCCCGTTCTTCTCATCACACATGAAACATTAATGCAAGTAGCAGGTAAGCCTTGTGTAGCACACAAAAGAAAACAGCTGGCAAAGCCTGTGTCGAACGAAAACATCTGCATACTAGCACATCTAATATTCTGTAATCCACACACACTGTTGTGTTGATTTGATTATTCAAAACAACAACAGTATGGCTAAGAAAGTGCAACACGTAAAGCTGGTTTGCAAATTCAGTTTCAAATTGTTTCATAGATAAATTAGTGACTAGGATAGCTGTTTATCACTGCTAATTGTTGAATGTTGGCACGAGTAGACTTCAAAATGTATACGTGGTGTGTAAAAACTTAGAGATCAGTAGTAGACGAATGCAGTCTACGGCGTTAATAAGAAATAACTGACTTTATTGGTTTTTTAATGTGTTGTTTTAAAACTAGAAATTCTGTGTTGCTTTGTTGGGTTTCTTCATATGTTAGTGACAGAAAAGAAAACTTATCTAATAATTAAACAAAAAAGGTGATGAATTGTAGAGGTTTGCACGACCTTTAAGGCGGTATTAATTTTAGCAGAGAATGACTTTGAAATCTCTTAAGACATCAGAGTGATAACTGATTTGTTTAGACTGTGTTTCCTAAGCATGTTTCCAGCCTTCAGCTGTAGTGCTTGAACCTTTGACACTGTTTAGACCACCTTGAGTTTGAGGGCGATGGCCTGAGCTCCTGTTTGGATCTGTCTGTCCTTCCTTAACCGAACCACTCTGGTAAAAGCAGCAGCAGGAGAGAAAAAAATAAATAAAAAGAGAAAGAGAGAGTCAAATATGACATTTCTTTGAGGATATTAGATAGGCTAATTAAGAGAATATATGATTTTTAAACATGGGATGATTAAAAACTATATAAAGTTAATATGCACGAGTGTCAATGCACAATATTTTAGTTGTCACCTGTTGGGGCTGCACAGTTGTTGTTGGCTTCTGGCCTTGAGGGGAGCGGGCAGGTGAGCGGGAAGCAGTGGATGACCTGACTGGCAGCACTTGGTTCATCTTAGCCAGCACCACCTCAGAAATGAGTTGACGATCCTCCGCCTGATGATCACCAATCAGCTGCATAGATGAACCCACAACCTGGAACAAAAGACACAACCAAGTAATCACAAACATGCAGTTTAAATTTGTGGTCAAACTGTAGGTTTTGCTTTATGTTGGAATGCTTTACTAGTTTTTCCAGATCAAATAAAGCACTACATATGTAGAAACATAAATCCTTCATTATACTTAATTCAGTCTTTATTCAATGTGATTTTCTATTGTATTGTTTTTATTTTTGTTAAAGTAAGTGTCTCGTATGGGTGTCCTATAGGCACTAACACATTAAATGTATTATTATCATCCATTCATTCAACCTTTATTTATACAGGTTAATCCCATTGAGCCTCGAGGACTCATTTACAAGAGAGACCTGATTTCTTAACAAAGAATGATGACAACAATAGACAACAGCGACAAATCCTAAATGGTCCTAATCATAATCCTAAATTATCATTAAAATACAGCACCACATAACTGACATGGTCCTTTAGTGTCAGTCTGAATCACTTACATAATTTTTCATTTTTTGCCCACACCAGATGACAAGTGGATGCTTACAGAAAAATAAAGATGATATTTATAAAAAAAAAAACTGCATTAGCCAGTAATGCTTTGCAGGTCATAGAGCAAATATTCCATATGTTTTGTAATTCAAGAAGTCACAGAGAAAACTGGACCTCTGCATCTCCCTCTGGTCTGTTTTCAGGCTTTTGGAAATGTAAAAGGCAACAAAGTCCCTATGGGAGATGAACGGCTTCAAGAGTTGACCCAGGAGGCTGGACTTCAAGACCTGCTGCCGGTGACCTAAATGCAACCTGCTTGTCTTGTTAAAGAGTTCAGGAGACAGAGGGATGAAGACACATCTGCATTAATGCAAGCTCCAATGCACAGCTCCAATGCAAGAGTTGGGGGTTCGAATCCATCAGCAGTCACATGTCAAAGTGTCCCTGGGCACGACACTGAACCCCTCATTGCCTCCGATGTGTGTCCCATTGGCGTATGAATGTGATAAAGCACTGATTAGTCTCTTTAGAATGATTTGTTCAATTATCTTTGTAGAGATCTAGTAGAGTGCTGTATGAATGGGTAAATGAGGACACAGAATGTAATGTAAAGCGCTTTGAGTATCTTGATAAGATAGAAAGGTGCTATGTAAGTACAATCCATTTACCATCTATTTACTAAGAGGGCTATCACAAGCAAGTTTTCATCATTGGAAGAACAAGGCTGTATTCAGCATGATTATAGGACATGTTAGGTTTGAGCTTTCTAAGTAGGTGTCTTATTAAACTTTTATAAAATGTTCATTCTGACATTCAGATTGTCTCAAAATGTAACTATCTTACCTTATCATATTTTAAATTACAGCAATAAACTTTAGAGCCTTTTATAAAATCCTCCTGTCCAGATGAGTTTATCGTTGTCTCATCCCTTGTTCAGCCATGTCTGCACTCCAAGTTAAATGTGTTTTGAGCTCCTGCCCACCCAAACACATGCTAGCCAGCACCACTAAATTAGGTTTCCTATTTTAACAGCTGGTCCACAACTAATTACGAGCTTGTTTATTGACCGTTAAACAGTAAATTGACTCTAAGCATATTTGCAGCACCACTGCCTATAGTTTTTGGTCCAGCTATTCATGACTAACAACCAAAGCTTGGGATAAAATTGGACTCAGTGTTTTGTGCGGATCAGGATTTGATCAATACCATTATGCAACTTTATAACTGATGCTAAAATGCATCCATGGAGAGGCAACAAGAGTCCTGCACATTGTAACTTGCTATGCTGAATTTTGAGCTGCTGGAACTCATACAAACTCAATAGCTTGGTCTTGGTTGTCCTCAGGCTGTTTCTGTGAGTAGCAAGTTGGCCAGCTGGCCTAAAACATTTGATTCTTGTACATGATGATTGATTGTTTTGGATGGGTGTGTTTTGCACGTGTTCAAAGACTACTTATGAGATTCCAACAGGAGGTTGGCGTGAAACAGAGTGAAGGCTACCTATAGGACAGATCTGGTTGGCAGGCCGCAGACCAGCGAAGTCCCCTGGGTGGGAGACGAAACGTTTCTCACTTCAAGAAACTGGTCCAGATGACACGATTTATCCTTTTATGTTGTTATCTACCTGGATGATTGAGCTTACAACCCTTCAACAACTCAAACAAGTCAAGTGCTCTAAACTCCAACTACAGCTTTTTTCCGATTTAATTCAAGAGCTTCATTTTTGATCTATTAAATGCCTGCTTTGTTTTCGTCCAGCCTTTCAAACATTTGTCTCCTTTTGGAGATTTTGTCATTATCCCCACATTGGTCAGACTTCATAGTGCCTTGACGGAAACCCACAGTAATTACCAGCAAGCAGGCTGGTCAAATTGTAAAGTTTTGACTCCTCTACTTCGGGATACAAACACATTTTAAGATTTGTCACTCAGTGAAGTCACTCCAGCATTCTTCCTGTCAGCCCACTTATCAATATTTTCTCAAACACATTGTGCATGCATACATTTAATCCCTAACTCTCCATAAAAAGCTTCTTTTCATTATTGGAAATAGTTGGACTCGAGTATTTTTGACATTTTCCATATGAATTAGAAGATGCTTTTTTTTCTTCAGGAAATGCCAGTTTATTTATAACCACTGTGCATGTGTAACACATAAACAAAGGTGTAATGCTAACTTTAAGATATGTGGGTGATACATATAATCCACATTATGTCATAAACAAGACCCACATTGTGTATTCAGGTTGTGTACATTAAGCAAGATATTCCCAAGCTCCAGGAATTTGGATAAAGAAGATTCCTTTAACAACAGCTCCCACAGGCTGATATAAACATGTTAAGTTTCCAAACAACAGCCAACGCCTCTCACGAGGCCGCAGCCTCAGACACCTCTGTCTCCCCATGTCTGTTTGTGTTTAGCTTGGACGGGCTGCACTGAAATGTAATTTTGTTGTGCTTCGGTGCAATGGCAATAAAGCTGATTCTGATTAATATAAAAGCTTATTGCTACATCAGCTTCTAGTCCATTTAAAATCTCTTTGAGATCAAGATTCCCATGGCTCATGATATTTTGTCTTACCTCAGTAATGTAGTCATTCCCATCCTTGCCACAGATGGCTTTGACAGCACAGATATCCAGCCCTCCAAAGATCTCTGAGCAGGTATCAACCCACTGTTTGTACCTGTTGCAAAGACAAAATATGTTGGTGAGGAAAATAAAACAATTACTGTTATTGTTTTTTTTAAGACAGAGCTCTTTTTGCTGCATCAAGCAGAACTGGGAATGAAGCCACCAAATTATCCTTTTCTGTCCTGTTAGCAAAACAGAGATTTTATTTCTCCCACACCAACACAACATTGATTTGTGCATCAGCACAATATGTGAGTGCAACTGTTGCTTTAAAGGTTATTCATCCTGACAGTAAACCTTGTTCAAATCTTTTCCTCGCACAAGGCGGGTTTGATTTTCTGGGAGACAGCACACAATCACAGTGGAGCCAAATTAAATCAATACTGGCCCAAAGGATACTGTCACTACTGTTGCAGGTTATCCACTTTTTACTTCGCTCTCACATTCACTAACCAGACTGAATTCAAACTCCATGTCACAGCTGTGGATTGCAGACGGCAGAAACCTTTACTGAATTAACTGCTCATTATGCATTATGATGAGTGAGACGTACTTTGTGGAAACGTCATAAATTGTTTATTGGAGCTCATTGTGGCTTCGGTGTCTTTCGAAAAAGGTACAAATGGAAACATTAAGCTATAAAATGTTTGATAAATCAGACACAAAATGTAAAAAAAAATTATAT